GATGCGGTGGCCTTCTGTTTGGTCGCAGTTTATGCTAAAGTGTAATTTATGTGTGAATGCGCATGTAAAAGTAGTGCTTATCCTTCATAGAATGGGTTGTTGGGTGACCAATCACAGCCCGATTGCTTGCCCCCTTTTAGGGAGGCGTCCTCCAAGCGAGTTTCTGAACGATGATTTTCACTTCTTTTCTTGCAGATGCTGACGGCTAATCTTGCCCACCAGCAGACGGCGAGCCTCTTCTGCGGGGCGCCGATTAAAAAGGAGCTGCCGGGCCCGCCTATGCAAATGGTAAGCCCTGCTCGTCTGAAGATGGGATTCAGCCTACCGCCGAATATTCTCTTTTGGCCTCAGCCGGGTCTCGAGCCCGACTCCGTGTTGGCCCCATCGCAGGTGGGCGGTGTTCAGCAGGTGGGTTGCTCGTCCGGCCGGACAGGCTACATCTTCGTTCCGAAGGCTCCTTTGGATCCTGTGAACCGAGAGACCACCCTTCTGACCCATTGACCGGCTGACAGATGGACATATAGAATGACTGATTGAATTAATCACTTAATGTCTGAATGACTGACTGACTGACTGACTTATTAGACGATTAACTGAATGCAAGACTGAGCTGCTAAATGACTGAATGACTGAAAACTGATTGACTAACTGATTATCTGATTGACTGAATGATTTACTCAGTGTCTGATTGACTGACTGGTGATTGCTTGATTGATTAAATAACTGATCGACTGATTGATTGATCACATAATTGATTGACTGATGGATTTAATGATAGACTGAGCTTCTGAGTGACTGATTGTCTAACTGAAAACTTACCGATTAATTGATTGACTGACTGAGGACTAGTTGATTGACTGACAGACTGGGAAAGGTCTGGCCTTCCTTAAAATTCACCTCTGTCCTGTGACTTAAAGCACTCATGTCAATGTGTCGTGGTGGTTAACGTATCGCTGTACCACATAAACCCGGGTTCGAGTCCCTCTGGGGTTGCTGATGAGACTAGTCTAGCTGGGTATGGGAATAGCTTTTTGGAAGCAATGCCATGTACAATTCGATGAAACCGTGAGGTCTGGCCATCTGATGTTTGGAGAATTCAACTACCAATCCTTCATCACCTTAAACGAAGCTGGGGTAATAAAGTTGTCATTCAAGGTGTACTGGTAGTCCAAAAAATCAACTAAACAGATAAAAGACTGATTAACTAAATAATGAAGAAGGTATAAAGACCAAGATGGTGTGGCCTTTTGTGTAGTCGCAGTCTCCTTTCGTTGAATAGAAGTTGT